GCCCATGGCAGGGGTTTGAGCTAGAGGAGCTTTAAGGTCCCTTCAACCCAAACCAGTCTGGGATTCTATGACAGAGGGCTGAGCAGAGGATGGGGGCACAGGGCTGACCCCTTCATTATTTGGAAGAGAAAGCAGAGAAGAGGATTTAAAGCTAATGGGCTGCAGCCATGAGCTAATTTGCTCTCCCTTCATAGAACCAGAATTCTTAAGCTAGGTAAATAATGATTTGTGACCTACTCTGAACTCTCCTCCCCTGGCTCCTTCAACCCAAGCTGTACAAATTTGTCAGCTTTACCACTCTCTAAATTTAGCTTCAAACTCAGAGAGCAGCTTTTCCTTCCTGTCTCTGCAGAAAGAATGGATGGACAGGCAGATAATGGAACGATCCGCATTCATTACCTTTTTAATCCCTTTGTCCTCTGATTTTTTGAAGAGATTGTCAACATTTATAGGAGGATAACTACACCAGGAAGGTGCTCAAGGCATTAAATGACAGACAGGTTCCAGAATACCTGAACAAAAACCCAAAACCCAGGATCTCAGACAAGCAATTTTGTTATGAAAAACTGTTGGACTCAGTCTAAGGAAGAGACTAATTAAAACTACCTAAAACATGTAGATACAGCAAACACCTACATTCTGTTGTAATTTGGGTTTTACATCTCCCTTAAATGATTTTGGTATTTGTCCTTTCTTACAGAGCAGTGTGAGTACTGGCCATTGAGAACTGGGGCCGAAGCAAAGGAGCCAGAGATGCCATTTGTCATTTCTGCAGCTGGGCTGAGGTCTTCATCTTACAGTTTTGCATTCTCACATTAGAACATTCAAATTCATCTTAGCTGATGGGACTGCTCCAGGAGTGACCTGCAGGAGATGCAAATGCTGAGTGCTCCTACAATGTGTTTGGGATTAAATGGTACAAAAATCCTACAGGGCAAGGGGAAATGGCCTCAAGTTGTGCCAGGAGAGGTTTAGATTGGATATTAGGAACGATTTCTTCACCCAAGGGCTGTCAAGCACTGGAAAAGGCTTGTTCCAGTGGTGGAGTCACCATCCCTGGAGGTATTTACAAGATGTGTAGATGAGACCCTCAGTGCCATGGGTTAGTGGTGGCCTTGGCAGTGCTGGGGAATGGTTGGACTTGGTGACCTGAAAGGTCTTTTTCAACTTAAATGATTCTGTGATTCCCACTGAACATGAACACATAGTAAGTCTGCCTCACCTCATTTATGGCTTGACAAGGGCCAGTATCTGCTGCTGCCTCACACAGTCCTGAGTTTTGAATGGGTATAAACCAATACACATCTAGGTAGCAAAGGTGGAGGCAAAGACCCCGAGATCTCAGGCCTAACAGGTCCTAGTCTGCTGTCAGTTAAATGCAGGTTTGAATGTTTTCTCATGTGAAGGGTCCCCTGTCACCCTTGTTTGATATCTAAACCCTCTGGGTGGTTTGTGTTTTGTGGCAAGGTTCTGTTCTCTACACAGCTTCTAGGATCCTTCTGGAGTAGAACAACAGGACCTCAGCCCAGACAGATCCCCAGAGGTATCAGCTTGGGGACCACTCCACCAGGCAGCACAGAGGGGGCTGTGCCAGGTTTTGTTGCCTCTTCCCAGCCTGGTTCTCCAACTTTACCCTAGCAGGTCCTGCATATTCTCTTCTAGATGTTCCCCTGCAGCACCCCTCCACATCATGTTATCCATGCACAAATACAGCAAGATGAAAGTCAGACCTCTCTTTACTTTAAATAAACGGTAAAGATTTGATTTTCAAGTCTGTCAGGCTCAATGAGGGCACATCTGGGACACAGAACACCTTTCTTTCCAAGCTAAAATTCCCAGTTACAGCTTCTTTTAGCTTTTATTTGCTAGAATATCCCATTTACAGCCTGGTGAAAGGTGCTCCATCTGCAAGAGCCTCACCTGTACACAACAGCAGGGATACGCTTCCAGGACCGAAAGCTTGCCACGTTCTCTAGCTCCTTATCTGTGATCCATGCAGGAACGATGATTTCCTGGGGGTAACTGCCACAGAGCCTACAAGAGAAGTGGTGAAAAGGGGCTGAAGCGACACAGAGCAGTTACATACTTCCCAGACAACACATAATAAGCAGTATGAGCAACCTGACAGCTCTTCACCTCAGCAACCTGCCAGTTTGGGAATTCCTGTTTCACTGTATCTTAACAAACTCATCCTTCACCTGCAACAAAAGGCACTGTGAGCACTGAGGTGCATAAAGGCATTTCAGGCTTAGAAGACTCCAGCTTCCAGTATCTGAAGGGGGCTACAAGGGTGCTGGAAAGGGACTCTTCATTCGGGACTGCAGTGATAGGACAAGGGGAATGGGTTCAAACTCAAACAGGGGAGATTTAGGTTACATATAAGGCAGAAGCTCTTCCCTGTGAGGGTGCTGAGGCGCTGGCACAGGGTGCCCAGAGAAGCTGTGGCTGGGCCCTACATGGCAGTGTTCAAGGCCAGCTTGGACACAGGGGCTTGGAGCAACCTGCTCTAGTGGAAGGTGCCCCTGCCTGTGGCAGGGGTTGGAGCTGGAGGAGCTTTAAGCTCCCTTAAACAGAAACCAGGCTGGGATTCTGGGATTTTCCTCAAAGACATTCACGTGTAGGCAATTTCTGCCTCCAGCTGCCAACATAAACTGGATCATAGAAGAGAAATTCCAGGTCTCTCCATGCCAAAGAATTAGCCTCTGTATTTCTGGGTCACAAAACACAGAGGCAGAGCCACGCTGGGCTACTTGGATTCAAGACACAAAACTTGTGTAAGCATGGGAAAAGCATACTGGCTCCTCAGCCCTTGCTGAAGGCAGAAACCAGAGTGCAGGGCTCATGCTTGACTGGCTAACGCAACTTTCTTCTACTAGATGCACCTCCTCCTCTACAATTGAACTAGTAAAGCCACAACTGGCAGTGAGATCAGAGCAAGCACCCAGCAGTGACTGCACTATATTGCTGAATCATAAATTAGTTCATCCCTAGCCCATCCCCTTAAGGAAATGCATTTCCTGCACCAGGACAGATGAACACATGTCTGAGACTGTTCTATTCAGAAAAAGATACCGATCTTCCTGAAAAAATGCTCTTTCCCAAGTGCTGCCCACAAGAAGGAAAGGAGAAGTTTGTGTCATTCTGCTTCCACAGGATATAGACATGATTTTTTCCTTTTCCTTAGGATTCAATGCATAAAGGATTTTTTCCTTCCTAGATTTTCAGACCAAGACAGATACTATTCTTGCAGTGACACCAACCATCAGCTGCAAGTCCTATATTACCCTGCAGAGACAGAGCAAGGAAACCTGTTTCAGCACACGGTGTTATGGCTGGGATTGCTCTGAATTGCATTAGAGATCAGCCAGAACACTCTGTCCTACTGACCATGCAGGGAGGAACACCAGCCTCTGTTCCAGCAACGAGAGGACAGGACACCAGTCTGGCCTTTGAGGACCACAGAAGGTATTTTCTCTTACTTTCAGGATCTACAAGCTCAGCTCTTCCAAACCAACTTCTTTTTTGTTTTTAAAACACATCTTTTTCATAGGTTAGAGAATAAGACACAATAAAAAGTGGGGTGTATAAGTTCAAACTCCAGTCTGCTCACTTCAGGCTTCCCTTCCTTCCATTGGAATCCTTATTCTCTAAGAAGTCCTCCAGCAAGCACATCAAAATCCAGTATTTCTCAGACTACAAGAAACTGGAGCAACTAATCAATTATTAATTCTTTAAAAGCACACTTTTTCTATAAAACAACAGAAAATCCTCATTCTGATTGTCCCTTACTAGGAGCTGTAGGACTTGGAAGGAGTTCCAGTAATGTGCTCTAACAAAATTGGTGGTTTGAGGTACTGTTTGGCTGTGAATCAGCAGCCCACACAACTCACTTGTACTTCTCATTGATGTTGGAAATCCTCCAGGCATTGTTCATATCAAACCCCATCCGCTCCACTTCATTTTTAAACCTTGAAGTTACATGTTCTCCTGGGTATCAAAAGCAGAGAGAGAAAAATCAATGCAAAATAAGAAGTAAAGGTTTCACCTTTCAAACTAGTGACAGAAAAGCACCACTGGAGTCACGAAGAGCAGAAAAAAGAAAAGAACAGTACAAAACCACCATCTGTGATTCACAACCCTATTTGGGAAATCCCTGGTGGGAGAGCTACTGCTTGTACTCATGGCTCTCGCTGGTCAACAGTCCTGAAATAGCAGAGTCGAAGGATCAGCTTCTGGAAGTTCATGTAAAAAACAACTCTGCTGCAGCCCAGAGCCAAGCACATCAGCAAAAGGCTGGAACTAGATGACCTTAATGTCCTTTCTGGCCCTAACTATTCTCTGATTCTATGATCCATCAGCAGTCATGGTGGGAAAATGCCTTCAGTAGTTTTTCCTTTCTGAAGTTCTGAAGAGTTTTGCATCAATGAGAAGAATGGGAAGCTCTGGTCTGGCTGATCCATGAAGGGGGAATATGTGGAACATGGTTTGGAATGTCTCCATTTAGCATGCAATTCCAGCCACAGGTCTCCTGTATGGCTGCAGGCAAGCCTTGGAATTTAACCTACATCAGTTCTCCATCTCCAAACTGGACATTATTCCTCCATGAGTCATGTGGAGATATGAGGATAAATTGCATAAATGATTGTTTGATAAAAGTATCAGTCACAAGATCCCTACAGATTCCTGGCTTAATATGTTAAAGGAACTGGAATGAGCTCCATATATTTCCTGGACACTTTTAAAAGTATCCAGATACAACTGAAAAGTACACAATGGCAATAAAGAATAATTCCTCTGATAGGCAGAAAGCAGAGAATGAGAAGGAATCAATCTAGATGGATAATGTTCAGAGGTTCAGAGTAAGAAATATGATAAATTACTGAGCACATAAGCTACATAAAGTGACCCTGAAAGCCTGTCCATTGCTTGTCTCATTCAACTGCTGTATCATGAAATCAGAGGCAGAGCATCACTCCACAGAGGGAAAATTCAGTTGAATACTTAATCCTTTAAGTATTACATCTTTCCATTCTCTATTTCAGAAAACCCTTAAAGCCTTTCAATACCCGAGATACATGTAGATGTGTATTTATCTCAAAGACGTACAAGTCTGAAACAGTTTTTATGTGATGTTACAGGACAATTAGAGTAAATATAGAGAAATAGGTGAATTAAGAATAAAGACTGCAGCCTATCCTTACCTGGGGGCTTAATTAAAGAAAAACTGTAATGTTATTCATTCCTACAGGTCAGATCATACACTGAAAATGGTACCCTGCAAACCCAGACATGCTTTACCCTACAGACAACATGTACAATGAGATTATTTTCCTTATGCTTTCTGAAAGGTAAAATGTGAGGATGACACTGTGTGCAAGTGGAGAACATCCATGGCAGTACGATCTATGGACCTGACTGACCCTCACTACTTATTCCCTTCACATGATGGCACTGGTACCATAAAAAAGCAATGGCTCTGTGTCGTGGTTCAAGCCCAGCCGACAACTTGGAACCACGCAGCCACTCGCTCACTCCCCCCCTCTTCCTTCCTCCCCCCGCTCCCGGAGGGATGGGGAGGAGAATCGAAGGAATGTAACTCCCACGGGTTGAGATAACAGCTCTCCAGTAACTAAGGTATAATACAAACCACTACTGCTACCAATAATAATGATAAGAGGAATAACAAGGGGAGAGGACACAACCGCTCACCACCCGCCGACCGATACCCAGCCCGACCCGAGCAGCGATCTGGGCCTTCCGGGTAACTCCCCCCAGTTTCTATACTGGGCATGACGTGCTGTGGTGTGGAATACCCCTTTGGCCAGTTTGGGTCAGGTGTCCTGCCTCTGCTTCCTCCTGGCTTCCCCTCCTCTCTGGCAAAGCATGAGACTGAGAAAGTCCTTGGTCAGAGTAAACGTTACTGAGCAACAACTAAAAACATTGGTGTTATCAGCGTTGTTCCCAGACTGAAAGTCAAGAAACACAGCACTGCACCAGCTACTAAGAAGGAGAAAAAATGACTGCTGTAGCTGAACCCAGGACAGTCTGCCTCCTGGGTTGTGCACATTCTGCAGAAGGGGGACCACAGGTCAGCTCTACCTTCCTAGTGCCAGATCACTTAGACTGGAGCTCACCAACACTCCCTCCTCTTCACGTGAGCTCTGCATGAACCTGAATTTATCACCACCTAGCCACTTCCTCAAACAGACCTGCAGCTCGAGCCCCTGTGTGACAGAAGCTGGATGTCTCCATGACTGACTAAAGCAAATCCACCACAATAATTTCCTTGTGATACTCAGGTACTGCTTTGCACAGTGATCTCAGAGTAGCTATGGGGGCAGCTAATCTCTCCTTTGTTCAGACAGAACCAAACTCAGGCTCTGCAGCAGCCATGTGAGACACTAAAGGACACCTGGCTGTAAGTGAAGGTACACTACGCCTATATAACACACGTAGAATAGCCACCAGCTAGTGAAGAAGTGCAGGAACGTATGGACAAAAGTCCATCCTGGAGTTGTCCAGGTTCAGCTGACAACAGCACTGGCTGAATCTGTTTGTAACTGTTTTGGAGGTTCTGGATTTCAGAACAGGCAGTTCTCCTTGTCAATGCATCTGTGAGGATCCCAAAGTGTTCCCCGTACCTGGTCGACACAAGTCCCCATGCTGCTCCTTCTCACTGGCATACACCTCCATGCACCACGCGTGGTAAGCAAAGGAGAAGAGGTCTTCTATCTTGGAAGGAGGGCGGATGGCATTGTTCAGTCGCTTGAGCCAGTCTTGACACTGCTCAAAAGTAGAGAACTGACACCTGCCCCAGAGACAAAGAGTTACCTGTGAATCTGCACTAAATGCTGCCAGACTGCGAGATCTGACAGGCTGGCTGCAAAACATCCCTGAAATCACAGAATCATAGAATCACCAGTCGATGAGAAACCGAACATGACCCATCAGTGTGTGCTTGAGCCCAGAACCCCTCCGGGTGCTGGGCTGCACCCCTAGAGCATGAGCAACAGGTCAGGGAGGGGATCCTGCCCCTCTGCTGCACTCTGGGGAGACCCCACTTGCAGTGCTGTGTGCAGCTCTGGTGTTCCCAGGACAGGACATGGGACTGCTGGAGCAAGTCCAGAGGAGGCCGCAAGGATGATCAGGGGCTGGAGCAGCTCCTGTGTGGAGACAGGCTGAGAACACTGGGGCTGTTCCACCTGGAGAAGAGAAGCTGCGTGGAGACCTCAGAGCAGCTTCCAGTGTCTGAAAGGGGCTACAGAGATGCTGGAGAGGACTCTTTGTCAGGGACTGGAGTGATAGGACAAGGGGTGATGGGTTCAAAATGAAACAGGGGAGATTTAGGTTGGATATAAGGAGGAAGTTCTTCCCTGTGAGGGTGCTGAGGTGCTGGCACAGGGTGCCCAGAGAAGCTGTGGTTGCCCCATCCCTGGCAGTGTTCAAGGCCACGTTGGACACAGGGGCTTGGAGCAACCTGCTCTAGTGGAAGGGGGCCCCGCCCGTGGTAGGGGTTGGAGCTGGAGGAGCTTTAAGGTTTTTCCCAACCCAAACCATTCTATGATTCCATGAAAGCAAAAAGCCAGAGCAAGCACCTTACTGGTAACTTAGTCCTGCTTCTACATACATTCTAACAGATAGTAAAAAATTAAACTTTGGATATTAATGAAGAAATACACACTTAGGAAGTCAAAACACTCAACAGCCTTCTAGTCACAAAGGAGGAAGATGCTTATCCGTATGTTTACTATCAACCCAAGGACACTATCACCAGGTTCAGCCTGCAGTGTCCCCACCACCAAAGAGAGGGGTGTGTTACAGCAGCACACTGACTGCTGGCCTCAGGTGGGAGCTCATGGAACTATGTTCTCATGGAGCTCATAGAACGTATGTTCTAATCCACGCATCACCACCCATAAACAAGAACACGTGTTTCATCAGACATAGGAGAAATATTCATGTGATTATTAAACTTGATTCGAGAGTAATGAGGACAAACTCTGGTACCTGAAATCATATATCATTCCCCTATCTCATAGGTGAAGAGTCTCTTCCTGGCCTTGGTGGGAAGCACAAACAGTGTCTTTGAAACTGAGCTTTGCCTAACATTACAGACCAACAACCACCCCTGCCCAGCAGAAACTAATCTTCAAAGCAGTGTATTACAATTCATTAGCTTGTCTTTTCAGAGGATAAAAGGTGGGAATAACTCCAGTCATCTATTTTGCTCTGACAGAGTTCTTTAACATTTTGTAGTTATAAAAGGTTCCAAGCATTTACATTCAGCTTGGTCTGTGTTCTGCTGTATTTGTGGCTAACGACAGCAGCTGTGTTCTCCAAGGGCAGGATTTAGGACCCCATAAGTCAGTGGAAGGCAAAAGCCACGTCCAGCTCATGAAATGTGGCTGAATACCTGCAAGGAACCTGGAGGTGTTCATTTCCCATCCTGACTGGAAAACCAGCCAGATTACTAGCTTAGAGTGGGCAATTCTGTATCAAATACCCAGTAAGACAAGCTACAACTCACCCTAGAGACCCTATGTTCTTTCTGAATCCTTTTAAAGTTAGTGTTGCAAACAGCAAGTACTATCTTCACTTGAGCTCTAGTGTTCAAAACACAAACTATTGTATTAGAAAGAACATGAACATGTTCTACATCTGGTGTCTCAGCCCCATACTCCATTGTGTTGCTGCAGCCAGTGGCACTGAGTACTGATGCTCAGAGATGCAATTTTGAAGGGAAATTGATGAGGAAGGGCATAAATACAAATAATCTGTATTCACTCTTCAATCGAGAAGAAACATCAAATTACTGTGAGAGGAAGGACATCTTCCAATGTCAAGAGCTACAAGTTGAGAGGAAGTTAAATATTTAATTGAAATTAAACTAAATATTACTTCTAACCTAAAATCAGTCCTCAGGAAAATAGGAAGCAGCTGCTTTGTTAAACATTCCAAGTGCTCAGCCCTGACTGGGGCTCAGCTCATTATACAAAAGGTACTGCCAGCAAACATTTCATCAAAAAGAAATGTTCCTTTCTTCTTAATTAAAGTTCATAGATCCAAATTAATTCCTGCAGCAGGGAAGTAGGAAATAGCTGTAGCTCAGAGGCTCCTGGCTTGGACTCTGAGGTCTGCTGAAGGACAGGCACAGGGAAACCTTCCCTTCCACCTGATGCTGCCCCTTGGGTTCGAGTGGGCTGCAGACCTGGCTTCACCTCATCCCTTCCCTTGCTTTTCTACCAGGTGGCTATGCCTTGAGGATAGAAACTGTGCCCAGCAGTGGCTGATGCCATCCAGACTGAAGGTTTCACCTCAAACTGCTCAAGCTCACACCTTAAGCCTCCAAACCACACATCTCCATTAACCACTTCAACAAGTGTTTGAGTGGTTTTATCCAGTATCTTGTTCCTAACTGAAGCACTATGTTATAACTGATTGTAAGGCAGGGAAAATGCAGTGCAAATGAAATTCATTTCAGAATAAAATCAAGATGAGCCACTTGCCTTGCTCACATCTTCCTCACACAAATGCCCACCTATCATATGTAAAATCAGACCAAAGAATATCTTTTGAGGGCAAGCAAGTCTGAAATAAGAAAATAACACTCCTGAAAGCAGCAGAGCTCTCTGCAGCACATGGAAAGCAGAGGTGCCCCCTGTCCAACATGCAACCTCTTCCTACCTTATAACCTTGCAGTCCTTGCAAGTCAGATGAAGTTGAAATATATCACGGCACTCAACGCTTTCTATAAGCTGCAATGGAACCTGAAATTAAAAAGATGACATAATTTTAGTTCGAACAGCACTAACACTGCAATTCCTTTGCATATCTCACAAGGATTTATTACAGGATTACATGGGGTCTGAAAAAGAGAGAGAAAACCGAAGAAAACGAAGTGGAACTACTTCAGCAGCTCGGTACCATGTAGCAGTAGCTCCAGTTCCACTGCTGTATGGTCCAAAGCCCATAAGAGATCATGTCAGAACAATTGAGAGGGCTGCAGCTCTGATGACAAATGGGAAAGCACAGAGACCCACAAGCTCTTTTCATGGAAGCCTTCTTCTCTCTTACAAGTCTGAATTTGGGATCTTGGGAATCTCATTTTAGCTGTTGGCTTTACAAAGGCTGGAACAGACAGGACAAGTTGTGGTAATGATGTCTCTTAAGGGACTGGAATGGACCTCAGTCTGGAGAACCATCCATTCTCTCCTCCCAGCTGCACAGCCTCACGTACACCCAGTGAACTATTTAGACCCACCACTACCTCCCGCAGCAGCAACGTGGCCAGTGAGGCACCTCTGCCCAGCTACACGAGTTCACATTCTAGAAGACTTGCTTTTCAGTCAAATGCTGCTTTGTCTGTTAATACTCCTCCCCAAAACCCTCTTTTATCACATTTTTTCCCATGTCCATCTTCATCTAAGCAGTCTCCTCCCTCCTCCCAGCAGCCTGCTCTCTCTCTTCCTCCTGTCTGCACTGTAATGACAGACCAAGTATTCTTCTACTCCTGCATTATTTTTAATTCCCTTCTTTCAAAGTCACTCTTTGTTCTGTGCCCTTTCAATGTGCCCTCTGCACAACAGCCATTCTTTCTCCCTGTGACAGCCTACCTGCAGCTCAGCATCCATTTCTTCATCATCTGCCTGTTTCTCTTGAGGAGAACATTCATATCCATCTTAATTTTCCTTTCATAAAAATCTGTCCTCTGATCCTGTTGCATTTTCAATCTCCTTCCTGGTCATTATTTTTCTCCCAGTAAAACTCGGTGAAATTACCTGCCTCCATTCCCCATTCTTCCCATTGACAACCTTCCATTTGCCTTGTTAGCTTCCTGGGGCTGACGCACATGGGCAGCTGGACAGCAGCACAGTGAGCCTGGCTCTTGACAGAGGCAGCACTTCTATCTGCAGCACCTCCCTGTGTCATCAGGGCTACCAGGATAAAGCAGTGCAGAGCAATCATTTTGGCTTTGATAAGAACACACACACATGGTTACCCCAGGACAATCATACACACTACAGACAGGCCCAGAGCACTGTGCTCCTGCAGCATCCCTCTCTGGGCTGTCTCTTCTGAAAAATTAGCTCATTTTAAACAATAAAGCAACATTTTACAACTCAAACTTTTTCTTCCTGTTTTTTTAATTACTTTCATTACCAGCACTGTGTTATCCAACAGCAGCACAAGATCTATGGAGAGAAATACAGCCCTGCAGTTAGAAACTGCACCAGTTACACTGACACTGCAGAAATGACCCACCCCATGGCTCAGACCCAGACCACGATGCCCAGGGGTACACAGTGGACTGTAGCCAGGCTGCTACAAGGAGCTCCTTCACAAATAACTATGTGACATACTCTACCCTTACACCACGTGGCACCCAGGGACTGTGAGCTGTAATAGTACTTTCATAGAATCCCATCCTGGTTTGGGTTGGGAGGGAGCTTAAAGCTCATCCAACCTAAGCCCCTGTGTCCAACCTGGCCTTGAACACTGCCAGGGATGGGGCAGCCACAGCTTCTCTGGGCACCCTGTGCCAGCGCCTCAGCACCCTCACAGGGAAGAGCTTCTGCCCCAGAGCTCATCTCAATCTCCCCTCTGGCAGGTTCAAGCCATTGCCCTTGGCCTGTCCCTACAGGCCCTTGCCCAAAGTCCCTCTCCAGGTTTCCTGGAGCCCCTTTAGGCACTGGAGCTGCTCTAAGGTGTACCCTTCAGGAGCCTTCTCTTCTCCAGGCTGACCCAGCCCAGCTCTCTCAGCCTGTTGTCATCTTGTTTTCCCAGTTCAGAGCCTGAAAAACATCAGGGTTGTGTTACAGGTGGGTTACTTTGAACAGCGTGAGGCCAAGGCTGTGTGGGCTATGTCCTGAGGCATCATATAGTACAACATCTAGAGGAACTGAGGGTGCAAGGTCAGCTCAGAAAGTCCTCAAGGACTCTCCTTCAGGTGGAGGGAGTCAAATCCCCCCAGGTGTGATCTTGTTCCTATTCCTACAAGGAGCACCTGGAGCAAAATTTGCCTTTAATTACAACTAATTACACTCAGGATTTGTCTTGAAGGTAAACCTTCAGTGTCCCCCCTCTGCCTTCACAATCAACACACGGGCAATGTGAGCAACTGGAGCATTAGGACCTGAGAACGTAACAAGGACTAAGCTACTGTTCAGCACAGATGAACCACAACTGTGCCACGTGAGGAAGGAAGATACCAAATCAACCGCTTCTGCATTGAAGGCCAAGCAAGGGACAGCTCATACCAAAGCTCTGCAGACTGAAAGTCTCCCTCATCTCACCAGCATTGCTTTCTTTTACTATGTCCAAACCCTGCTATTTGAAAGAGGATGCCACAGGTCCATGGTATCATGGACTACACTAACATTTGAGTTCTCCCGTGCGTGCAGTTAGCTTACAGGGAGAAATATTCACCAGCTGCACAGCTTGGAATGTACTGAAGGGAAGGCAATGCACAGAGCTCAGCCTGGGAACCAACCTTCCCACGTGCACAGGGAGATCACTGTTGAGTCTGCACTTTTATCCCATGGACAAATGTAAGTCAACACTTCTGAATGTCATAATCCCTCCAATTTATGCATGGTCTACTGGATCTTTTGGGTTTGCATTTAAAACACCATGTTCCTTTTAATACTGTGATCTAGGAAGTTATCCATGGGAAAGATTCACACATACAGCTGTTTTCTGCAGTGTTGCAATGTGAGAATTATCAACTTTTAAATGTATTCAAGCAGAGGTGCAGCAAGTGATGTAGCTGCATTGTGCTATGCACTAAGGTTTCACAAGCACCTTTCTGATGGCCAATCTGGTGAACTGGAAACAGAAAACAGTGAGGTGAAAAAACAAAGACCAGGAATCCACATTTAACTGGATTCCATTTCCCCCACACACTTGCCTTTACCAAGGGGTGAGTAGCTGACAGGCACACTGCTTTTTCTGGAGCACCATTCCAACAAGGAGAACATCCCACCTACTTCAAGAGGTGATGCCAGAACAGCTCCACATTCAGGCACAGGGAATCAGTTTGTTTTACAAGTATTACACTACAGATGTTTGTCAGGAATCCTCTTCCTTACAGAAGTCCCTCTCTCCCCTGAGGTGACAAGGACATTTGTGGGGCTGCACTTAGTCAGGACAGTGACTCTTCTGAAAATCATTCAGAAAACCTCCAACTCCAAAGATTAATGAACATTTATACATGTTTGAAAAGGTCTTGGAGGTGTTCTCTGAACAGCCCTAGTGTTCAAGGCCAGGTTGGACACAGGGGCTTGGAGCAACCTGCTCTAGTGGAAGGTGTCCCTCCCCAGGACAGGGGATTGGAACTGGAGGAGCTTAAAATCCTTTCCAACTCAAACCATTCCATGATATAAAACGAGCAGGGAAGAGTCAAGATGAACTCAATCAAAAATTCCTCAGTGAAGATTTCATTTAGAAAATCACCATTTGATCAACAATTTTGATCAACAATAACCAAAGTGATTATTACTCCAAAATTTAACAATTATAAACATGGTTCCTAATTATTGCAAGTATGTTTTAGCCTTAAAGATATTCTAAATCCTGTGTGCCTTGGATTCCAGTGGAGTTTGTATTATGGCATTAATGATATGGGTTACGGAAGAATAAGCTGTATTCTGCTCTACCTCACACACTGTGATGGTTAATGGTGACATACAAGCAGAACTAACAACCTCAGAGCAGAGAAGAGAGTGAGAGGGCAGATGTGGTTCTGGGCAACCTGCTCTAGTGGAAGGTGTCCCCACTCATTGCAGGGGGGTTGGAACTGAAGGAGCTTTGAAGGCCCCTTCCACCCAAACTATTCTATGATTTTATGAAAGTCTGAGAAACAAGATTAACCTGGGAATATTGACAAGCTTTTATGGACCTTTTCCTGAACACAAAGAATATTATTTAAGAAACACAAAGCAGCAAAGAAATCCTACAAAGCATGTGCCTTGTATCACATCTCCCTGCTGCCAGCAGCACACAGAGATGCATCTGACTGACTGCACTTGAGGCATCCCAGCACCCAGCTTTGCCCTGGCTGCCATCCCACTGCACGCTGGCACCTACACCTCAACTATAAGTCTTAAGTTACACTCCAGGATGGACTATGGAATAAGGAAAGTGAAAAGCATAGTTATGCTACCCCTGCACATGCACCCACTTGTATCAGCTCCTTTGTATGGGCAGCAGGGAAAATTATACTCCCTTAAGTTTCCAATTAAATTCTTGGCATCGTTAACTATTTGCCATCATCATGTTCAGAACTAGTATCTTTATCTGCTGAAAACCCTCCATCATTGTGGATTTTAGCACTTTTAATACTGTACAGATGTTCACCAGCCCAGCAGACACCCCTATTCAGCTACATTGACAATCAATGAACTCAAATGGCACTTGAAGTGATTCACGGTAACTGTGACACAGGCACGTTTCAAAGTCTGCAGATAACACTGCTCTCTGATTAGAGAGAACATAAACCAGCAATGACTCAGTTTCAGTTAGTAAACAACAGTTTTACAGGTTAATCATTTGGTTCTGGAACAAAGCAATAAAAACCAATTTAAATTTAAGATTGTCATGGCATCCAAAATTAAATGAGGTGCACAGGAGATGCTGATGTTCCAGCTCACTGTACCACAGGTGTTGGTCAAGTCCCATTTTCCTTCCCTTGCTTTTCTAGCTCTGGGTGAACACACAGCTTTGGTGGTTTACACTTCACTCACCACTGTGTGCTTCAGGGCTGATGACTGACACGTGGCAGGTGTGAACAACTAACCAGGGTCAGGACTTGTCCCAAGATAAGGAGTTGGGTAAAAACCCATCATCAGGAGGAAAAGAAAAACACGCTTTGGGTCTTTAGGGTTTATTTTACTGGTTTTATTACAAAGAGGCACCAAACTATTTCTGTGCCGTGTGGGATGCCCTCTCAAATTCTGTGTCATTCACAAAGACCATTTCAACTCGTAAGCTACTCTAGGTCAGCATTACCCACTGCAAAGGACTACACAATGCCCATTTAATTCATGTCCCTGATAATGAGTAGCTGGATACGTAACAATATTTAAGAGGGGGTACTTAAGAGTAAGAAATGTGTAGGCCTCTGAAGATGAGGCTGAATTCAAAGATCTCTCACATCAATAACTGTACTCATACTGTCCAGCTTCAGGCAGGTAACTACAGCAGCTGGACCTACTTCCACCTTTTGAAACTCCGAGCAAGGCAGAAGTCTAGTTTAGGTGCTCCAAACAGCACTTTGGAAGACCTTTTGTTTCTCTACTAAGTATATACAGAGCTTAGGGAGAGCAAAAGGCTGACACAGCCAGCTATAAAGGGAATGTAAAGTTGAGTGATGTGAAGTTTCCTTACAAAGCCTGATCTTCAGAGGTGCTGAGTCATCTTTTGCTGCCTAAATATGTATTTGAGCATCATAAAGAGATTTTTCATTACCACTAACCACAAAAGGCAGGATCACCAGGCTTTTATCCCAAATTCTCTTATCTGGATTGCGTTCAGAATACCATGAACAACACTTACATTCACAACAGACTCCTTGAATTTGATGTGAAGCCTGTAATTGGAAAGTGCAATGATGGCATCCTCTGCTCGTCCTACATACTCTGTACTCTCACCGTGCAGTTCAATGAACGGGACCTTCAGAAGGGGAAGGAAAAAGTCTTTCAGAAAGCATTTAGCAAAACCATGTCCCTCCTGGAAGCACACAACATCATGAAATCAAAGGGAACACTGCTGCGCATTCAGCCTGGCTGTTACTGCTAAGGAGGGAAGTCTTGGGTCAGGTTGGTACAAGGTTAACTGCAGCCTTTTCAGAAATGATGCTCATTTTCTCTTCATTTTCCTGAGCAGGAAGTGCTTGGTCAGGGAAAACTCAGAGTCTTTATGAAAAACCTGAGCAAACTATCCTCACATTTAGGCAAGCAGACAGACCAACCCCTTGGTTTATGCTCTTGTTCCTTACTTAATGGAGAGTGCTATCTCCATCATGTTATTAAATTCATCTTAAAGCAGGCAAAATGTGCAAGATGAATAATCTTCTATGCTACTGGTCATCAATATTTCCTAAGCAAGCTCAGGTAACCAGCTTAGACTGGATAAATCACAGCTTTTGCTTTGGATCTCTCACTGCAAATAAGGAAATGCATGATGTGCTGCTGTTAGAGAGGCAGAAAACCTGCAGTTGTGTTACACTGCACCTAAAAACTGCATGTGACTTAAGCCCAGTTTAGCTGACCTGGGCGAAGAGTATCAATGCTCAACTTGGAAACAACCTGAGTTTACACCAGCTTAGCTTAAATCCATTAAAAAGAGTTTCTATTGAAATGAAACAAACTACTTCAGTTGATATAAGAGTGCCTACATGGATAAAGCTATGAGTGTCTACATGGATGAAGCATGGAACTAAAATTATTTCAAAAGGAACTTCGGCAATCTAAGAAACAAAAAAATATCCATTTTGTGCAACATAAGACTTCTGGCTTCTCAGTAGCAAGAAGCAATAGGAGTATTTAAGTACATGAGTGTGGGCTTTTTAAAGAACAGAGTTCTAAACTAGGCACTAAAACCTAGCACTAAAATTACTACACAAGTACTGGCTCTGTATTTCAGACACTCAAAGGAATCTCTTGTAACATAACACACAAGTTCTGGCCTACCAACAGCACATGAGCATTTAAACAGAAAATGGAGTTCTCCTATTACTGTGCTCCTTGTGAATGAAAATTCTACTGGAGAAGCCAGAGAATACAGAGCTCAACTGGAGACACTGTGATCCTCCCTGGCAAGGAGCAGCGTGGTGATTACCTGAAGGTTCTCATCCTCTCGGATCAGCTGCTTCCTGGGAAAAATCTGATTAGCCTGGATGCATTCAAGGCTGTGCTGAGTCTCTTCATCCTGAGGAACAAAGTGTTACAGTGAACTGCAGCACTATCACTTGCTGCCTGCCTTCTTCACCACACAGCAAGCCATCAGCTCCAGCAGGAGGAAGTGCAGAGAATTCAGGCATCAGTCTCTCACTGAAGTTACTCCACTTTCAAAGACAAGCACTGAAACAACTAAATATGACACTATAACAAGTTTCCTTCCTGCAGCCTGATTAGAAAGTCATAAATAACAGAAAACCTTGTGATTGTATTAGGAATAAAGCATCAGCCCAGTCTAGTCCAGCGCTACCTTAAAATTCAGCCACCCCACAGCTCAACATTAACTCTCTAGTGGTTTTCAGATTCGAGCTCTGCAACAGACCCCACAAAGCCCTTTTGCTTACCATGACAGGCCCTGGAGCAGAGGAGCAATCCTCGTCTTCACTCACAATACTTTGAGGCTCTTTCTTCACTTCTTAAAATCTGGAAAACCAGAAAAGTGTAAGGATGAAGTTACATTCATTTTCTTTTGGCAAATAAATACAAATTAACTTTTCAAGACTGAGGATTTAGCTGTTAGAAAGCTGCAAGCAAACATCAATTATGAGAAGAGGAAATCCATTTAAAGTGACTCTCCTGAGAGACAGAATGGTTCAAAATGTGTCTGCTCCTTCTGAAGAATCACCTGTGAAGGTGGTGCTGGAGGGCACCTGCCTGCATGCAGCCCTCAACCACTGCTGATGCAATTCAAACACATTCAGCAGTTCAGGGCACCCTGCACTGTCTCCCAGTCCTTTGCACATGGCAATGCACAGCTTACACACATAGGTTATCAAACCAAAGGGACCATGGGCATCAGTTGCTCTGGAATCTAAACACAGGTTGTTGGATCCTCCTGAATTGATGTTGTTGCAACAACAGCACATGAACTAACATACACATAGGGATAAAACCCCTCACTGTAGAGTTATGGCTCATTTTTACATCAGTAGATGCATCAAAATGTCCATTTGCTTGCATGAACCTTCCCGAGAGCTCCAGGTGACCAGACACTGGAAGAAGCTCTTCCCTGTGAGGGTGCTGAGGCGCTGGCATAGGGTGCCCAGAAAAGCTGTGGCTGCCCCACCCCTGGCAGTGTTCAAGGCCAGGTTGGACAGAGGGGCTTGGAGCAACCTGCTCTGGTGGAAGCTGTCCCTGCTCGTGGTAGGGGTTGGAGCTGGAGGAGCTTTAAGGTCCCTTCAACCCAAACCAGGCTGTGTCTCTATGACTTGCTCTCTCTGCTATCTAACAATCCCTTTTTTATAAAGAGTTCATTCAGATATGTTATGGGGTTTGCAGCACATAAAACCACAAAAATCTAGCAGTTGAGTTCAGCCAGGTCTCACTTCATACAGAACCTGCCTTATAAATCCACCTCAAATGACTGGTGGTATGGTTGACAGAGGAAACCCCTTTGGAGCCATCAGCTCCCAGGCCCTTCACTGCTGCAGGAAGCACCAACTGCACCCTGTGCACTGGACAGAGCACATTTACAGAGGGGAAGGAAGCAGCAGATACACATTCTGAAACTGGAATAGAAGAAATTACACTGACCCCAAACCTCTGCTAAACAGGGACACTGCAATAAGCAAAATGACTTTACGTCATGGAATCCCAGCCTGGTCTGGGTTGAAGGGACCTTAAAGCTCCTCCAGCTCCAACCCCTGCCACGGGCAGGGACAGCTTCCACTAGAGCAGGTTGCTCCAAGCCCCTGTGTCCAACCTGGCCTTGAACACTGCCAGGGATGGGGCAACCACAGCTTCTCTGGGCACCCTGTGCCAGCACCTCAGCACCCTCACAGGGAAGAGCTCCTGCCTCAGAACTCCTCTCAGCTTGCAGCAGGATGTACGTGTATGTATAAAAGGAGGAAATTAGGAGCAAATTGAGCTGGAACTGCCACTAATTCACTAAAAATTTATGCAAAAAGTAGATCAAAAAGCCCCAATTTTAAACAAACAAAAGCTACAAGACTTGATAGAAGCTGGAATCTATCAAGTATGGAAACTGACAAGGAGAAATAAAATATCAGCACAGAAGTTTCCACGCCTGCAGGAACAATGGAGAGAAGGAACATTCTTTTAAGTTGCCAGAAACAAAGGAAATCTAGAATACAAGCTACCACCAGTGAGATGGAGACAGTATCACTGCTAATACTGGTTTAAAGGAGGCAGAATCCTTGCACATTTTTGTTCCAAAAGAAGCAGAAGAAAGATGGTTCATACATAACCATTGCTGTAACCATGGTTCACATGGAACCCATGCTGTAACTGATGAGAACATTCAAAGGAACACAATGATTAAAGCTAAAAAGGTCATAAATTCTTCAGGTTTGATCTTTAATGTACCAGGAGCCATAAAATTCCAGCCCTTGTATTCAAAACAAGAGCCTGTGCCTGATTCCAGCATGACTTGGTATTTTACACAGGTTGTGTTTGGGTCCACTTATCTTCAAGCCCACTTCTGCTCTGCACTTGGAGATACCAGTGAAGGAG